ATACTATATTAAATGTTGTCAAAAGAACTTTTAATATCTAAAGATATAGCTGCAACGTGTTTGTAATTATTTTTTAGGTTTGTTAAGTTATCTTTAAAATTATCCAAAGCTAAATTGACTGACTTGCCGAATCTGAAACCGTATTGAAGATCTGAAAGGGCGTTGATATTTTCTAAATGAAAATTTAGTCTTTTTATGATTAGTTTTTCCAGAAATTTACCCAAGCAAGGTAGAAGGGTGATTGGGCGATAAGATGTTAAATGTTTTGGATCTTGGCCCTTTTTTAGAAAAAAGTAAAACCTGACCTTTCTTAAAATGATCTGAAAAATAATTTAGAGTAAGATATTTGTTGAAAAATTTAAGTATTAAAGTACAGAAAAATGAGAATAAAATTTTAACCACAATGTAATCTATTCCATCAATGCCAGGTGCTTTTTTGTTGTTAAGAGTTTTAATTAGGCGTTGTAACTCATTGTGTGTAAATGGGGGATCTGGTGTGTTATTTCTGTAAATTAGCGGACGTTATGGAATAATATTATCGTCGGGATAAAGACTTTTAAGAATACTGTTTGCTTCGTCTAGTTGAGAATTATTATTGTATATATTTGTGAGTATTGTTGGATATGAATTTATTCTGAATGTAGATTTATAATGGACACCGTAAATATTCCTAGTGTTTTCGCAAAGGATCTGCCAACTTTTATATTTAGCTTGTATAATAAGTTTTTTACACTCTGCTCTTTTTTTCTTATAAATTGTTTTATATTTATTAATAACCTCTATATCATTTGATCTTTGAAAGCGTCTTTTCATTGCTATTTTAACTGTTAACTTTAACTCTAAACTGTTAACTGTGTTGTCCACCAAGGGGGACTTGTTGGACGATGGAAAAGTTTAGCTTTGTAAGTTTTTTGACTGCTGATTAAAATTTTATTAATTAAGTTATTCGTAAAATTGTTTAGGTCTGAAGGATTTTGTATTGTATTTAAATCATCTATTAGGACTAGGTTAAAAGTTGAAAAAACTTTTTTGAACTTATTATGATTTCCTTACTTCGTTTTGAATCCAGTGAAAGAGGAAAAGGTGTATGTGTTATTTACTTGGATTAATATGTACTTATGGTCAGAATTACTGTTTATATCCATTACATTCCATGTTGTGGATGCTAAAATATCTGGATTACTTGTTAAAGTAAAATCAGAAAATGATGAAGTTAAGGAGGTTACATATGTCAGTATTCCGGGTTGGATATTAAGAATTTTCAAATCATTACATGTTATAAAATCTGGTAAAGCATCGCCCCTGGCATCATTGTTGTTATATCCCTAGAAGTCATGATGAGAATTAAAATCCCCGCAAATTAGAGTATGTGAATTATAAAAATTTTTGCTGCTGTGGTAGATTAAATGCTTCATTAAATTTATTCCATTATCACTTGGAGAATTATAAAAAGAGATTAAAATAAATGGAGAATTATTTGATGAATTTATCGAAATCGAAACTGAATTTTGTAGGATATCTAACTGTAGAGGAGTTATTGTTTTATTTGGTATGAATATACCGCTTTTACAATCTGCCGACAGGAAAAGCTTCCAAAAGCTTGGGTATCCTATTATTGTTCCTTTAGGAGAATATGGTTCTTAAAAACAAACTATATCGATCCCATGCTCAACGACCGTTTTTTGCAATAAAAAGATAGCTACTTTGCACCTTTGAGGATTAATTTGTAGAATGTTAAGTCCATCAAGATTTGTTGATATAGTATATTGTTTTATATCATTATTAAATTGGTTAATCATGACTGAATGAAATGAAATTAAATTGAAATACTTTGAAACCAAAATTTAAACAATAACGAAAGTTGCCTTGAAAATTTAAAAAATAATTAAAAGGAGGAATAGTACGAAATGAAAAGAAAGGAGGAAAAAAAATATGGAATGTGAAAAAAAAGAATAAAATTTTAATTTAAATTAAAAAATTTTAGAACTATCTAATAATAAAAAAATAGAATCCTTGAAACAAGGGTGGAATGTTAGAAATCTGCTCTTAGTTATATAAAGTATAGTTCCAAGCGTTTGCCTGGTTTGTTAGCTGGTTGACGACGGTTTAAAAGTTTGTTGTGGGCATGTCCTGTTTTTTTTTTCTTTTTTCTTTAATAGAGTTACCTTTGTTGATTTATTTTGAGATTGACGTCTCAACTCGTTTAATTCATACTGGTACGTTGTACAATGTGGACTGGATGCTTTATGATGTACGTTGAAGTTCGATGTATATTTTGTGTTGGAATATAAATAGTTTATGCAAGTTGGGGTTGAGCTGGTGCAGTGAGAAGAATCATGTTGCGATCCACAATGTTCACACGCTATTCTGTTTTTACAGTTGTATTGGTGGTGACCTAAAATTTGGCAATGTCGACACCGCAACAGTAGTATTCTTTTTCTAATTATGCAATTCTGAAAACCTATAAAAACATAATAAATTTTTATCAATGGAATTGCCAATTGGAAGTTGGTTCGTATTATAACATGTCCTTTATTAATGCCATTGTTGTGCGGAATTGACTTGGTGATTGTTATATTGTCTGTGTTTTCATTGAAATCGCAGTTGGCTTTAAGAGTTTCTATTGCGTCTTCATCACTGCAGGATGTCGGAACATTCAGATGAATCAGGGATAGTTGCCGTTTAGGTTTTTCTTCATAGGAAATGCCAGCGTTCTCTATGCTTGTCCTTATATTCTCCTTTTGTTTGTTATTGTGAAATTTTATTTCCGCAATTTTGTCATTTACAAAGACTTTCTTAATTAACGGTTTAATGATTGTTGTTTCTATTTTCTTGAGAATATCCTTTGTACTGCGATCCGTTGTGGCTAGAATGAATAAAGGAGTGGGTGGGGCTGGTTTTTTCATGACTTCGCTAATAGTTAGTGTCTGATTTCTTGTTTCCTTGGTGTGATTAGAAATGACGTTTATTTGTTCTTGAATACTTTGTAAATGTATCGTTAGAGTTGACTCCACAATTTATTTTGTAATGACTGATAAACCTCTGTTCATATTTTCTGTGGATACTGATTTGTCCAGTTTCAATGGAGATTGATGTTGGTTGTGTTCTATTAGGTCTTTTATCTTGTGGAGAGTATCCTTGCACTCATTACGTTGTAAAATTGAGAGACTGTATTTATCTTTATATTTGTTTTCAATATTATTGATTAATGTTAATAATAATGAGTCAAGTTCATTTGAAGTATCAAGAGTAGGCCAGTTTATGTCCGCTGATGTCTCTACTGGTGAAGATTCTAATGAGGAGTCTCTATGACTATGAGTTGGACTTTGCTGAGTAGCTAAAAGTTCAGATTTATTCATTGGCTTTCTAATTCTTCCTGATGAAGATGGTGTTGATTTAACTGATCATCTGGTTGACATTTCAGCGATGAAAAGTATTTAAAAGATTATACAATATGAAGTAGTATATAATATGAGTAATTACAAAAAAAAATATTTAATGCCGTCGATGAGTCCCTCCCGACCCTCGACGAAGCCGTAGAAAAAAATTTGAAGGCAAAATAACGATGTTCCATTGTTTCTCTCTTCTTTCTTGAGCTGTGACTTGCTTGTGAACCTCAGCATCCATGCTACCATTCGTAGAATCTTCGAATACTTAGAACAGTAAGAGAAAATCCATGAAAGATCTACATTAATGCCGCAAGTTGAGACTGTTAAATATTGCCGTTGATCAGATATTATTTCTTCTCTGTCGAAGTTAGGATTCAATCGAAACCCGTCTTCTATAGTCAATTGGTTGCAATTGGTCAGAAAATCACCAGACTTTGACCGCTCTTTTACAATTTCCTCGTCATTGTGGACATCAATCTCAGTGGTTATATTCCAAGTTGAGATAGTTTCTTTCAACCAGGCTGAACCTTCCCACCATTTCATAGCTTTCAATGTTTTAGAAGAACATCCTCTGAAAGGAAGGTCTGCCGGGTTCAATTTTCCTGCAACATGGCGCCAGGAGGAGAAGTCGCTCAATTTTCTTATTTCATCTGTGCGATTCCTAACAAAAACAGACCAATTTCCTGGTATGGTTATCCAAGCGAGAACTGTCTCGAAATTGCTCCAAAAGTATTGCATGATATTCTTCCTGTCGAGAGCTTGTACAAGCCTTGGTATGGTCCCTCCTTTGAGTGGCGTAATACGAGACTTCGCCGACACAAAACTAATTTTAACACCATCTTTTTCTTCAATCCTCAAGAAAGCCACAGCTTCATAAGCCTCTTTACTGGCATCGCAAATGGTATGTAAGGAACAGTTCTCTAGATTTTCTGGATTAACCTGAATCCGCCTGGGCATCTCAGTTTCTTCCAATATTTTCAATTCTGCATACCACTGAAGAAACTCTTTTTCCAGATCTTTTCTAATCTCTTCATCCCAAACAACACCCATCACCCATGCCTTTTGTAGTATTAACTTTGGGCACAGCATGACTGGAGTGGTAAATCCAAAAGGATCGAAAATACGGTGAGCGATAGAAAGAATAGATCGTTTAGTGACTTTTTTCTTTTAAACCTAATATAATTGATTCTGTTAACGAGTCTTCGCAATGTGAGTTTTCCCAACTTCTCAACTCCCTTTCTTCATCAATTCAATAGATTTTTGCTTAAATTCTTCCATTTCATGTGGAGTATCTACACTGGTTAAAGAATTGTCGACATAGAAACTCTGCAAGAACCCTTTTCTTAAAATCTTCATCGTTATCTTGGTCATTGTGTATGTGATACCTGATGACAGATGCCAAATGAAAAGGACTACTCGTTACTCCGAAGACAACTCTTGCATGTCGAAATATTTTACACTTTTTGTCCTCCTAATTTTCCCACCAGAAGAACCTTAAAAAATCTATATCTTCTTTGGCGACACTTAATTGTGAAAACGCTCTTCTCACATCTAAAGAAATACCAATACTTCTTTCTCTTAAACGCAGTAAGACATCCAGGATAAGTTCGATTAAGTTAGGACCGCTGTGTAAACAGTCTTTAATGAAGGGTGTCCCTTCATACGGGCAGTAGCATCGAATACCGGCCTTATTGGGGTGGTGCTGCTTTCTTTTATTACAGCTCCATGTGGCAAGTAATTTCCTGGTAAGTCAGTTTCATTAGAGGGTACTTCTTCGATGGTTTTTTCTTCAAGCCAGCTTTTGAAGACCTTTTCATGATCATCATAAATTTTCTTCGATTTCAATTGAACTATGGTCCGTTCTAATCTCCTCTTTGCCAAGTTAAAGTTATTGGGTAAGAAAGATTCGTTTTCCAGCCATGGTAAACGGATTTCGTACCTTCCTTGATCATTGACCGTTACCGTCTTAAGAAAATGTTCCTGTGCTTCACAATCTTTTTTCCTTTTCAATTTCTTCTCAATGGGATCTTTGATTCCCATTAAATCGATTCTCCACAGATCGGCCATCTCAGCTTCTTTTACGAAAAGTGATATCACCGACATGGCGATAATTTCGGTACCACAGGCTTATGATGAGGTACCTTTCCCATTAAGGTCCATCCAAGATTTGTTTCGGTTGCAACCATGCCATTTGCAAAAACTTTTGCTGTCCAGTCAATAACTTGCCTATCATGTCTGATCCTACGAGTATTTGTACTTGTTCATAAGTCTGGCTAACATCATTTAAACGCATTTTTAAACTCTTAAGTTCCTTCAGCCATGGACCTCTGTTTACACGTAATATCTCTCACAAATAACATCTTGACCCAATACCTCCAAATTGAAAGAGAATTTTCCTTTCCGCGATATAACTCTTATTTCATTCTTCTTGTGTTTTCTAACATCAATAGTTACACCTCCAAAAAGGGAATGAGCCACATTCATTTCTTCTAATGGAGTATACATCATCCTCTGGGCAACGGTATTAAGGATGTAGGATCTCTGTGATGCTGTATCAATTAGCAGACGAACATTCATTTCTTTACCATTGGCGACAAGCTTGGCGACCAAAGTTTGCGGAAAAACTTCTGGCGTCTGATTTAAATTCGTCATATTAAGTTCATTTACAGATGTTTCCGTCTGCGCCTTTTCTCCCTCTTTCGAAACTGATTTTCTCATTTGCTCTAGGTTTTCACACATGAGTATCACATGTTTCCGACCACAAATCAGGCATTTGACGAAATTCCTGCAGTACTTAGCTACGTGACCGGGAACCAAACACGCAAAACACCCTTTTTTACTTTTTACAATTTCCTGCCTCTCAACTAAAGGCTTTTTTTGGGCGGAAAAACAGTCGAAACTATTATGTTTGCCATCACAAAATAAGCAACCTCTTTTTTGTTTCTTTACGTAAGAAGCTGAGTGTAAAACAACGGCTGTTGATGGTGCTCGAGATTTATTCTTTTCATATTCAACTTTTTTCTTCTTAGCTGCCTTGTTATCTTCATATTTTAGCAGGCCAAAGCCATCCATAGCTAAATTAATTCGGGATTCACCCTCCACTTCTGCCTTTAAAGACACAATCAGTTTGTTTAGCCTTTCTTTGGCTTCTAATTTTGGAGTTAAAGAATTACTCCGATGGTGGGCCTGCAAAAATTCTTCCAGAAAACAGGATTATACCATCGGGTAGAGAATAGATGCACACTTGTCTGTAGTAACCCCGAGAGTGTCTAATGCTCTTAAATATGTTTCCAGCTTATCATGTAAGGAGGTAAGCAGAAAAGATCTATTCACCTGAACATTAATAATTAATTTGAGAAGTTTCCTTACGTATATCTCCACTAAAAGATCCTCGTTTCCAAATCTCGATTTCAGACTATCGACGGACTTAGTATAATTTTCCCCAGTTGGCGGGAAACTTTATACAATATCTCTCGCTCTGGAACCCATCACAGTAGCTTGTATCTGATATTGGAATTTGTCTTTAAGGGCAATATCCGCATTATTATCTTTGTGCTGAAATTGGCTCTAAAGTGAAAGCGATTCCTTGACATCGTCGCCGAACTGCCTGAATTCCAGCTTTGGTAACGTGAACTTTCTCCTAGCATTACCAGCTTCGGCATTAATTGAACTTGAATGGCGATGTTTTGAATCGTCGATTCTCGATCTTGCGCTTGTAATCTGACCATTTCCAATTCATGTGCCATTCGGACCTTTTCCAATACTATGGCTTCGTTTCTTTTTCTTGAAGTATAGCCATTCGGGCCTTTTCCAATTCTATGGCTTCTTTATCCTGTTCTTCTTTTTTCTTTCTCTCCTTACAGTATCTTCAAATACCTGTTTTACGAATTCTGGATCCTTTTTATATTCATCGTTACCAAAATCAAGTTTTTTAATTTTGCTATCGTCGATCCAACCGGCACTGTCTCTCCAATTTTTTCTAGAACCACTAACAAATCTGCTTTCTAAAATCCGCTCTTGAAGAAGCTTGAAATTCTGCTGTGGTCCCTGTTCGGGAGCCAAATGAAGTACTTTGTACAACTAAATAAGATTCTTTTCACAATACTTAAATATTTACTTTATTTTCTTCATATATAGACAGAACAGTCGGCAAAGAATTCTGTTAGGTTAAAAACATTTTGATAAACAAAAAAACGAATTCTAAAAGAAATAAAAATAAACACTAGCCCTTGATTCTCGCAGTAAATCTGAATGAGACTGGATCATTCCATTTATTTCAAAGGTGGGGAAAGTAGAATTGACTGTGCATGCGTCGGAATTTACTCTCACCAGGGTTGCCATACGTAGTATTTTTAATAATATGTATGGCAAGTATTGTTTGACTAAAAATTAGGGATGTGGTATTTTTAGTAGTATTTTTTTTAAAGTGTTGTACTTATGTTTTTTCTTAAATCAATTCTTATATCTGTTACCGGCAAAGTATGAAATCCGGTATTATATATAATTCCTAAAACTAACCGGCAAAGAATGAAATGATTTATACTTCACACATTGCCTAGGCATTATATATAATGCCAGTTGCTATTTAGGCAAAGTATGAAATAAACGTCCTGATGAGGTTATTATGTAAATTATGTGCGTGTTACTGTGAATGACCGAAATCGGTGGTTGTTGACTTTCACCGGTGAATGTTGACAATCACATAGTAGCTTTGGTGAAAGTCCGAAATATTTATTACATCCGATTTGATATTAATTTATTCGTGGATATAATTACATTTATTCGATATTTTAATACTTACTGATGATAGATAAGAAGAACAGAAGTGTTTGGAGTATCGGGCAAATGCATACCGGGCAGTGGCCCTTGACCTCAAATAAACATAAGTGCAGGGTATACCGGGCAAATGTATACCGGGCAGTGGCCCTTGACCTAAAAAAACATCAGTGCAGGGTATACCGGGCAAATGTATACCGGGCAGTGGCCCTTGACATTAAAAACATCAGTGTAGGGTATACCGGGCAGTGGCCCTTGAACTTACGAAAACATCAATGTAGGGTATACCGGGCAAATGTATAGCGGGCAGTGGCCCTTGACCTCAGAAAAAACATCGGTGTAGGGTACACCGGGCAGTGGCCCTTGACCTTAAGAAAACATCAGTGTAGGGTATACCGGGCAAATGTATACCGGGGAGTGTCCCTTGACCTTATAAACATCAGTGTAGGGTATACCGGGCAAATGTATACCGGGCAGCGGCAATTGTATACTATGATTAATCTTTCTAGATTTTACTTAGATTTCTTACCTCAACTTCATAAAAATACATGAGATAAAAAAAAATATTTCAGACACTATATAAAATTAGTTACGATTTAAAAAAGTGTAATCAGAGTGTAAAAAATATTATCTTTGAAAACATCAGATTAGTTTAAAACTTATTAGAAATGTATATTTAAATCCGAAATTGATAAATGGCGTCATCGTTTAAATTTTAAAAATCTACTTGCAGATAGAACAGGAGCTTATGTGTCTTCAAAAAAGATCACTGTATAGTTCTTGCGCCGAAATGATGAGCAGTAAATTCTACTTTCCCCTCCTTTGAAATAAATGGAATGGTCCAGTCTCATTCAGATTCAATGTGAGATCCAGGGGATACTAAAATAAACAACTTAAAAAATAAAAATGCTGTTGCCAGCCATAGAATTTTTTGAACAACATAAATCAAAATGACATACAAGTGCAGCTAGGTAAAAATTAAGATACCTGAGCGCTTGACGTAACACATACGTTATTAAACCATTCATTTAGTATATTTTATGGTGATGTTTGTTATGGTAAAGATTTCGAAATTCCCGTTTTTCAAAATTATAGCTTACATTTAGTAAAAATACAAAACTGAGAAGTAAATCTAAACGAATAAATAATTTTCACATCGTGCTCTAAAGTATCGAGGTAAAATTACCAAAAGGTTCTTCAAAACTGTTATTCCTTTAACCATTTTTTTTGGTAATTTTAGTCTTTGCCAAATAGACTGATAAATATCTGTGTGAAGTTCCATGGTTTATTTAAAATAATAGCTTATTTAAATGGTGGATAGAATTTAGGAGAATATTAATTATTTATTTTCCTAATATATTTCTGGATTTTAACTCTGTAAAAAGGAGTCTAAATGATGTTTTTAAGTTTTCAAAATAACTATACATTGATAATCAAGCTATTGTGTCTGTTGTATGCATCTTTAATATGGGTTGTGGGTTTTACACTTACATGTTACATTTGTATCTCTTACATTTGTAGGTTTCTTGGAAAATACAAAGAGGGGCTTAAAAACTCTTTCAAATTTGAGAAACAGCACAAGTTTCATCAATATCAGTAGTCCTATCCATATACTCCTTTCAAATGTCCTATCAATAACACTAATAGTGTTAATAGAAATTGAGAAAATTTTGTCTTTTCTAATAGATTATAATATTCAGTTCTGTTAGAAAACGCTATAACATTTATTTAGATATCTGATTGGCAAATACTCCGTCTTTTATAAAGAATAAAGAACTTAGTTCTACTAAAAAAGACTAAAAATAATGGTTTAAGTATTTAAATGGGATATACTTTGTCTTTTCTAAAATGTTTAAAAAGTTTCACGTTTGGAATCAAATGTCTTATTTATATCTATTTTATTTAAATTTTTACAAAGCGTGCTTCTTATAAGAATTGCAGAACCTACAATGAGTTATCTTAAATTTGTATTGGCATATTATGATATGCATGAAATATAAAAGTTGAATTACATTAAAAATTTATTTAAATAAAAGTTACATTTAAGTGATATCGGTGACAATTAAATTCATTTTTAAACAAAATATCACAAAGTAATTCTTAATGAAAACGCATTTTAGTTCTAAATAAACTATTTAATTCTTCTGCTATCCGTGCTAGAAAATAAACGATTTACTGACTTGAGTCATAATAGTAAATGATCTCTGAAAATACTGAGCTATTTATATTTTATTACTTCTTTCCCAAATAACATAAATGTTAGATTTAAGGGTTTTCTTCATTGGCTAAAAGTATATATCGTCTTAAATAATATACGTGTCCCTTTG